GTGTGTGTGTGTGTGTGTGTGTGTGTGTGTGTGTGTGCGTGCGTGTATGTGTGTGTGTGTTTGGCATACATGTGTGTGCACATGTATGCGTGGTATGTGTTCGTGAGTGTGTATGTGTGTGTTTGTGTGTGTATGTGTATATGTGTGTGTGTTTTTGTGTGTGTGTGTGTATGAGTGTGTGTATTGTGCGTGTGTGTAGCGTGCGTGAATGTTGTTTGTACATGCATTTATGTAAAGCGCCTAGAGCTGTGTTTACATGGGAGTAGGCGCTATAGAAATGATCTTCATTATTATTATTATTATTATTATTATTATTATTATTAAGTACTGGACTCCAGATGGGAAAATGGGAATGTGTTTTAATTAATGGAACTTAAAATCTTTGGAACATGAGCATCGATTGTAATCATCAGCGCTCAAACGGAAAATAGTTCAATAGCGGTGGCAGCTGTGACGAAAGTTCCAAAAACTTCCGGAAATTGGGTTACAATGGCAACCATACGTATTATATAAATACATGATTATGAACAAATGCATACATTTTAAATACGTACATTGAATTACTCCACTTTGGAACAAATTCATAAGCATGCCATTGCTGTGACAGCTGAGGTGACAGCTCCAAAACTTCGGAAACTGGAGATACAACCAATGAGTCTACATAACAAGAGGGGCCACTTCTCTCTTTGAGCCAATTAAAAAAGTGTCCTCAAAATTCGGTGGCGCCCTCTTCGCAAAAACGCACCTTTTGCGAACAGAGTTATCCTACTTGAGTTTTTAAAAATCAAAGTGAAACTAGCAAGTTTTTGAATGAATTTCGGAAGAACGCTTTTTTAAAATCGTTACGCTGACAAAAAACCTCTTCCGGAGGAAAGGGTGATTGTTTTCTTCGTTTAATTTGACTTTAGAATGAAAGGCGAGAGGTCATTAAAATATAAATAACCTAAAACTCCGCACTGAACGAACCCGAACTACTGATGAACAGCAGTCGATCTGCGCACGCAAGGAGGTGCTATTCCTATTCTTCTTCTGGAAAAACGAAAGAGAGCTTCAAAACAGACTGCAGCGCCATCTGAAGCAAAGAGCATACTTCCTGCCGACACTTTTTTGGCTGAGTGGCCCATCTTGTTATTTACTATCTTTGATACAACTCAGCTCCGATGATGTAATGCCATGCCTCCAAAAATAGAAATTTATCTTGTTCTTGTCGAGCTGGAGGCAAGAGATAAGTCTGCAAGCTCCGCACGCACTTTCACCAGTGAAAATGTGAAATGGTATCTGTTTAATGCCACAGTCAACATTGTTAGGTTATTTAAGAGGCGGGACTTCAGGGTTTAACGTCCAACACCGAAAGGGCTGCTTTCACATATGCAATCAAAGACGTTTTTAACTGCTCAAAATGTGGCAAACTTTTCTTTGTCAGAATCGTTCTCATCGACCATAACAGAAGCCACATATCATCTGTATTCTTGTAGCTTTTATTGCTCTTTAAGAAATTATATTCTCCTCTGAGGATGTATTTGTCATCGTCATACATTGTTGTTATTATTATTATTATTATTATTATTATTATTATTATTATTATTATTATTATTATTATTATTATTATCATCATCATCATTATTATTATTATTATTATTATTATTATTATTATCATCATCATCATCATCATCATCATCATCATCATCATCATCATCATCATCATCATCATCATCATCATCATCATCATCATCATCATCATCATCATCATCATCATCATTACCATTACCATTATCATTGTCATTGCCCTTGTCATTATCATTATTACCATTACTTTCATTATCATTAGGTCTTGTAAAATCGTGGGGGGGGGGGGGGGGGGGGTTCCTTTTGGGATCAACATAAGATTGTAAAAAAATAATAATTTTTAAAATGAAATCTGTCTAAGACAAAAAGGTACACTCACTTCCAGTCGAACTCGCATCCAGAAGCTGGACAATAAAGGCCAGGGTGCAGAGGACCAGGCCGAGATAACGCAACACTGTAGCCATGTCTTGATAATACGTAGATGACGTCAGTCGTCCACTTCTGGTGACTTCTCTGGAACGGAAGCTGCTGTTGCTGTCGTCTGCAACTTGTCGTCTGTTTTTATAGCGGCGTGTTCAGTCACGTTTGGCTTCACTACATACAAGATGACGCTCGTTTTTGGCAGAGCACGATAGTGCACCATTCGTGACAGGGGCTGCGATAATCCGTGGGACGGAGGAAATGATTGCCGCGGACTTTGGTTTTTGTTCTGGATTGTCAGAAACTTGTTCAGGATGTTCTGTCCCATAAGTGTAACATCTGTGTGGTTAGACAGTGTCGAAGGGTGAACTTATAATTATAAACCCTTTAAGTATCGCATCAACAAGAAACAACCTTTCAGCAAAAAAACACAAAAAACAACAACAAAAAAACAACAACAACCAAACCCAACAACAACAACAAAAAACAATACAAAATAAACAAAAAAATAACAACAACCACCCCACCCCCCCCCCCCCCCCCACCCAAATCCCAACGATAAAAAAGTATTTTTAAAAACCCTACTTAAAATAAAACTAGAAAAAACAATTCAAATCCCCAAACAAAGCAATGATTGAAAATGAAACAAAATAATACAATATCTGTAAAAAGCACCAAACAAAAAACAAAAACAAAAAACAGGACAAAAACGAACAAACAAAACTGCAACAACAAACTAGTCATATTTCACATACTCCTCCAAAAAACAAAAGAAAACAAAAACAAATTTTAAAAATGCAAAGCGAAACAAAGAAAAACAAAGCAAAACAAAACTAAGCAAAACGCAACAACAAACGTTTCCTCCTTCCTTAGAAAAAAATAAAACAAGAACAGGAAAAGCCCAGAAAAAAAACCAAGCTTTTCTTACGGTACGGAGAGTTCTTGTTGATAGGCTGTATACTCCGGTATGGGGTGAGATGATAATGATGATGATGATGATGATGATGATGATGATGATGATGATGGTGATGATGATGATGATGATGATGATGATGATGATGATGAT